AGTTACAGACAGTTAACTGCCAAGCGGGTGCTGGGAACTGAACCCATGTCCTCTGCAAGAGCAATCACTGAGCCATCGCTCCAGCCCTCAAGAATTCTCTGATGTTGTGTGTGTGTGTGTGTGTGTGTGTGTGTGTGTGTGTGTGCGTGTGTATGTGTGTGTGTTCAGAGTGATGATTCTCTTTCCCTAGAAATTATAAAACACTTAACAGTTAGGGTGGCATCAGGAAAGAGATGGCATATTCAAATTAGTATTCATTAGGGAGGATTTATTTACAAAGTGACTTTTTATTTTAAAAGGTATGAATGTGTGTAGGAAAACAGAAAAGGTAGTATAGAAACCTAGTGAAGCTATTACCATGCCTAGCTCAGAAGGCAGGAAAGGAAGGGATGGTTTCCACAATCTAGAAGATGTGAGGAAGCTGCCTTCGGAGTGACCTTCAAGACAGAGACCTGGGTGGAGGGCTGAAGCCATCTGGTGATTGGCCCAAGCCTACATGATCTCTTCTGGCCCTTTTTTCTCTGCACAATGATTTCCCCATTGCCTGAACCCAGAGTCAAAAGGCCAATGAGTCCTTTGGTTTGGCCCTTAAGCAGTGAGAGTGGGTTAGAAGGCACCTGAAAGGCCTCTGGCACATTCCCATTATATGTGCCCAGTCACTGCTAAGAGAGGTCTAAAAATTTCTGTAGAAAACTTAACCTTACTTTATTTTTAAAAAGCTTTATTGAGGTATGATCAACATGCAATAAGCTATACATATTTAAAGTATACAGCTCAGAGCTGGAGAGATGGCTCCACAGTTAAGAATACTGGCTGTTCTTGCAAAGGACCTGAGTTCAGTTCCCAGCCACCCACATGGCTAACTCTAGTTCCAAGGAATCTGATGCCCTCTTCTGTTTCCCTCAGGCATTGCATGAGGAAATGCACTTAACATACATGCAGGGGAAACATTCATACACATAAAGTATACAGCTTCATAAATGTTGTTGTATACATACACCTGTGAAACCATAACCACAGTCAAGATAGCCCTCAAAATTAGCCTACTTTAAGATATTCCATGTGGTTCTTTTAGGAGGTTATGGAACGATATCACAAAAATCAAGACATAATATATAGTTCCTAAAGTGTTGGTTCTGGAAAAATACACAGAAAATAAAATCCAAGATCATGTCAAAGTTTGTTAGAGGGCTAGGGGTATAGCTTAGTGGTAGAGCACTTGCCTAGCATTCATGAGGTCCTGGGTTTGATTCCTCAGCACTGCAAACAACAATTCCCACAAGAAAACAACAAAAAAGGTAAGCTTGGGGACACAGCCCTGTAATCTTACCTATTCAGGAGGCTGAGGCAGGAAAATCATAAGCTCAAGGCTAGCCTGGGCCACATAATGAATTCCCTAGACAATTTACTGAGACCCTATCTCAAAATAAAAATGTAAAAAGAAGGCTGGGGATGTACCTAAGTGAAAGAGCATTACAAGTCCCTGAGTTCAAGCCCCAGTAACACACACACACACACACACACACACACACACACACACACATTATGAGAAATCTCTTTAATTGGACTTTATAGTAAACAAGAAAATAAGATGAGTTTGAAAGGTTTTTCTAGTCTGCATTTTGTATTTGTTTAGTGACAAACATAACATGGGAGTGGAGAGATGGCTTGGCCATTAAGGTCACTTACTGTTCTTGTAGAGGATCCGAGTCTGTCCCTTGTTGGGCAGCTCACAGTCATCTGTAACTCCAGCATCAGAGGAATCCAATGCCCTTTTCTGAACTTTGCAGGCACCTGCACTCATGTCGTGCGCACATACGCGCACACACACGTAAATAGATATAATTAAAAATAACAAAAATAAATAGAAATAAAAACAAAGGTCTGTACATCTGTATTGTCTGACTAGTGGGCATTTGAGCCTGAGAAAATCAATAATAAATAGGTGTTCATTCTGTTCCATCAGAACTGTAGATTGGCAGTTTCAGTGTGTACTGTATATGATGTTCATATACAAAATACACTCCAGGAAGCAGGCTCAAGCCCAGGTGCACAATCTCCTTGAAGCCTTCATCCTCAAGAAAGTAGTTTGGGAGGGGTGTTGTGTTACTGACAGCTGTTTACTGTTGTTACTATGACCAGTGTTTAGTATTTAATACATACTTAACATTTTATATTATTTCATCAATCCACCCCATGCCACCAGGGAATAGGTAATTTTGACCTCCTCCTTTTACAGATGAAGATAATCTTACAGGTGTCAAGACTGAATTTAGTAAATTACTGAAGGTACTGTCTAAAGGTTACAAAGCTAGTAAGTGATTGAGCTAGGATGGAGTTTAATTCCCTAGGCTTTATTCCATTCTGCCTTATATCACACAGCAAATGGATCATCTGTAAACACATTTTAAAAGGAATTATTAATAGCAAGTTGCTTGCTATTCATCTTCAGTGAATGGGTGTACCTCGAGTCCTGCCTGGCTTGAGAACTGGTACACACAGCCTTCACTGTCCACAGAGTCCTGTGTATCTAGGGAAATTGGGATCTCCTGGTGCCAGGGATGGCCAGGGATGGTGTAAGACCACTTGATCCATCATCAGGGGTGTGGTGGTCTCTATCAGCACAAGAGCTTGACCAGCCCCCTTGGCTTCTGTGCTGGCTTTCAGACTCCTCAGGCAAGTCCAGAATGCTCTTGAAATCTAGGCATAAGGACTAATCTTGCTCTCAGGTATAGCCAGCTGGCTTTTCAAGTATGTCCTCAGAGGATCATTCTTTGGCCACCCTGTCTCAAGTGTCACCCATCACTATCTCTCCTACCTTATTTGTCCTCATGGCAACAGCCATTATCAGATATTTCTGAGCATCAATTTGAAAACTTTTTGGTCTTGGGATCTCTGCCCTTACTTAAAAATTATTGAGGACCCAAAGAATGAACATTCATGCAAGTTATACCATTTGAAATTTGCTATAACAGAAATTAAATAGAGATTATAAAGCACTTATTTAATGGAAATGGCAATAATAAGGCCATTGTATGTTATCATAAACAACTTGCAAAAAGGGGAGTATACTTGTATTAGTTACTTTTCTGTTGCTGTGGTAGAAACACCATGACCAAGGGAACTTATAAAAGGAAGAGTTTATTTGGCTTGTGGTTCCAAAGGAGCAAGAGTCCATTATGGTGGAGAGGCATGGTGTAGAGGTGACTGGAGTAGGAGCAGAAGCTAAGCTCTCACATCTTCAAGCAGGTACAGGAAGCAGAGAGTAACTGGAGAGCTGACAAGGCTTAAGAACTCTCTAATCCCACCCCCAGTGACCTGCTTCCTCCACACCTTCTAAAACCTCCCTAAACAACACCACCAACTGGGGACAAAATGTCCAAATACTTGGAGTCTGTGGGGGAACATTTGCATTCAAACCATCACAGTACTCTCTACAACAATCAAGAGACTTAGCATTGTTTTATGTTTTTGTATACCTTTTCTGTTCATAGAAGATACCTAGGTTGAGGACTAGAGAAATGGCTCAGTGGTTAAGAGCACTGGCTGTTCTTGCAAAGGACCTTGGTTAGATTACCAGCACCCACATGATGGCTAACAACCGTCCATAACTCCCATTCCAGGGGATCTGAACAGACTCTTCTAACCTCCACGGGCATTGCACAACATGAGTACCCTTATGCACATGCAGGCAATATGCTTATACACATAAAATAAAAATAATAACTAAAATATTAAAAAAAGAAGATACATGGGTTGTTAAATAGCTTCTGCTATTCAAGCTATTACAATATATTATTTAGGTAAAGGTTGATGAAGAAAGTCTGGTTTCATAAAAGCTTGTAGTTTCCCTTATGGAAAAGGGAGATATTTTAATAGCCTTCTCATCTATAGATAATCTCTAGTTTATAATGGTTCAACTTAGGACTTCTCAACTTTATAATGCTGCACAGATCATACTCCTATGGTTATTCTATTTTTCAGTCAGTACAATAGTCATTAAATCACACGAGCTAGTCAACATATTATTATAAAACAGGCTTCCTTTGTAAGGACTGAGCTACTCTAAGCTGTGATGTTCTCTAGGTTAGGTGTATTAATTGCATTTTAATATTTATGATATTTTCGATTTGTGAAGGAGTTTATCTGGGGTGAGTGTTCCCATCAAAATTCAAGGAATTTCTGTAATTATAGATGTCGATTTGTAGTATACTTAAATTCACTAAGTGTTTGTCTCTTAAAGCTAATTGTTGTGTGGACCCTGTGCTCTTGTGATGCTTTTATGAGCCACTACCAAGCAGAAGTCAATGGAGAAGATCAGTGTCTTTTCAGATATGGTTTATATAAAGTCTAATAAGAAACACGAATCATCAACTTTGTCATACTGTTAAATAACTCTTACAAAGATGGAAATCACCAAGTTTTCAAAGAATAGAGATGTCCCTTTTAATTAAATTTCAACTTTTCTTTTTTAAAATTTTATTTTTATCTTTATTTTATGTGCATCAGTATATTGCCTGCATGTGTGTAAGTGCACCTGTGTCATACAGCGCTTGCAGAGGTTGGAAGAGGGCATTGGATCCCCTGGAACTGGAGTTATGGATGGTTACTAGCTGCCATGTGGGTGCTGGGATTTGAACCTGGGTCCTCTGCAAGAGCAACCAGTGCTCTTAACCACTGAGCCATCTCTCCAGCCCCAAATTTCAGCTTTTCATGTGCAGTGGATTTGGTACACTTTTCTTTGATAGATCAAATAACTGGTTTCTGACAGTGCCTTGATAAATATTTGTCGAAAATATTTGTTTATTGAAATGCTTTTATTTGTATTTTATAGTCCTGTTTATGTCCTCTATCTTATTTTTGTAACTGAATAAACTTTTCAGAATAGACCTAAACACCCAAATCCACAGATATGTCCAATAAATTAGGCAGCCATTTTATCTGCTCGTTCACAATATTTCAACATCATTAATCCGTAATTTTGTGTTTATCTTTTTAAGATCCATACGGGCTTACAGCATCTACTCATCAAAGTCTGTCAGCCCAGCTGTATTCCTCTGGATGAAAAACTCCTGCCCCAGCTTCTAAAGGAAGCAGGCTATGCTACCCATATGGTTGGAAAATGGCACCTGGGAATGTACCGGAAAGAATGTCTGCCAACCCGCCGAGGATTTGATACCTACTTTGGTAATGGAAATACATATGTTTCTTTAACAACTTATACTAACTGCAGCCAGCTCATAAAACACACCCAAGTGCCATCAAACAACATTGCTGGAATCCTGAACACAGAGTGAATCAGCCAACACCTTGTGGGGCTGCCTTCTAATGCTGCCTCCATAAACTGGTTTTGTGCTGAGCTCTGGGTGGGCATGTGTCCACAGCAAGGCAGTGGCCCTTGCCAGAGCACTAAGTTCCACTTTGGGGACTTGGATGAGTTAACTGCCTCCACACCAGGGGCCATTGTTGCTTTCTGGAACCTTCTTACCTAAAGTTGACAGTGACAGAGTTTTACAGAATTATAGGCAACCTTTATATTCAAGAATATTTCCTTCACAAAAGTTTTATATATATATATACATATGTGAGTGTGTGTTGTATGTGAGTTTGTGTGTGTGTTTTCTCCCTACAGATCCCCCCTGGGGGGAGAGTAAAATAGCACACTTTCCCTAAGTATTGTTTCCCACCTGTGAAATCACTAGGTTGGGGAAGTTCAATTTAAATATTAATAATAAAATAAAGAAGAGATAGCAAATGGTAATAGGAAGATGATAAGAAAGGAATTAAGTACTTTATGAATTTAAAAACCCTATAGAATAAACATGAAACGTAAAGTTTGTTTTAAAATGTGCCCTCTTTAAGCCTATTATAACCTATTTGACAGTAACTGCCTAGTTCTTTTTATATTGAACTTTCTTTCCAGCTACTTAGTTACCTCCCTCCCTCTCTCCCATCTGCTTCTTCACTTATTTACAACATGCCACAGCCAAAAAGGAACAAATATTGAACATAAAAAGTTTGAATAGAATAACAAAATAATGGCAAGTAGAGAGACATGGGATCATTTAAAGGCACCAAACTTTGCCAGAAAACTTGCATGGCTCCAGGAGGCTGTCAATCAAGTCTAAAATATGAGACTTAAAAAAAATTATTTCTTTAAAAAAATTTTTTATGTGTATGAGTGTTTTCCCTACATGTATGTAAGTGAACCTTGTACATGCAATGCTCACAGAGGCTAGAAGAGGGTGTCTGATTCCCTGGAACTGGAGTTATAGATGGTTATTAGGTGCTGGGAATTGAACCTGGGTCCTCTTGGAAGAACAGCAAGTGTTCTTAACTTCTGAGCTATCTCTCCAGCCCCAATATGAGACTTTTAATTAAAAATATTTTATTTATTGTTTTTATTTTATGTGGTGAGTGTATTTGCCTGCATGCATGTAAGTGTGCCCATGTCATGAAATGCCCAAGGAGGTCAGAAGAGGATGTCTCATCCCCTGGAACTGGAGTTAGAGATGGTTGTTAGCTGCCATGTGGGTGGGTCCTCTGTAAGAGCAGCTAGTGCTCTTAACTTCTGAGCCATCTCTCCAGTACCTCCATTTATGAGAGTTTTTGTGTTAGAAGGGAGGGAGGGAGGGAAGGAAGGAGGGAGCGAGGGAGAGAAGGAAAGGAGAAATGGAGGGAGGGAAGAAAGGAGGGAGGGAGAGAAGGAGAGTGGGAGGAGAGAAAAGGACTGTTAAGAGGACATTATTTTCAAGATAAGTGGACAGCAGGTGTTCAGGAGGAGTAAAACATTTTCTGACTCTTTGGCTTGAGAGAAATTTCTCCTTTGGGAGATGATAAAGTGGAGAGCATCCTTACAAATGCCACTTTAATAATAAAATGGTTTTCTTATAGCTGTTTCTTGAGCTATCTATCCACTCCCATGCAAGCTAAGGCCAAAGCACAAGAGTACCATTTAAGAAAAGGAATGTATGTGGAAGGCAAAATGATCCAGCCAAGCACATGGCTCTGTGATGCCTCTTTGGATCTAGGCTGAAGTCAAGATCTGAGGACATCAGACAGGAGAGAACCTGTGCTCCTATCCTGGGTTCTAGCAGGCATCACTAATCAGCCATGACATTCTTTATGGCAGAATCTGAATGTATCTTCAGTAGCTTCACATAGCTGTTAAAGATCAGCCTAGATTGATTTGTTATGTTGGAGGTTCTAGAGGAACAGCCAGTCTCTGCACCTTAGGAATTTTTCACACAGGCCCTTGAAAAAAAGATGAGTTGTTTTGTCCTTTGGCAAAAATAACTATGGATATTTAGAAATCTTAATAAAACCCAAGTTATGTACTTAAAATTTTAATTGGATGGGCTGGGGAGATAGCTCAGTCAGTAAAGTGCTTGTATCAAACAACCTGAGTTCAGTCCTTAGAATCCAAGTAAAAAAAATCCAGGTCTCGTGGTGCACACTTGTAATCCTGTCACTGGGGACTTAGAGACCAGTAGATCCCTGGGGCTTGCTGGCCTGGCAGCCTAGTCTAATTGTCAAGCCCCAGGCAGTAAGAGAACCTGTCTCAAAAAACAAGGTGAATAACTCCTGAGAAATGATACCCAAGGTTGTCCTGTGACCTCTGCAGGCACTTGCGGCACATGCGTGCACATGCACGCACACACACACACACACACACACACACACACACACACACACACAAATTCAGTCATACAAAAGGTAGAAATCATATCCACTTTTGAGAATTAAGGAGCCCTGAACCTAAATGAATAGATACCTACATTCACATGAAGGAGGGCTTGCAGCCAGGAGGAGCATGGGGAGCACTCAGCAAACATCACCACCACAGCCTAGCTGTTCTGCTGAAAGCAGACAGGTGATTGTGAACTCTAAAAGCTGAAGAAGTGCACACTTACATGGCAATTTGTGCTGAATGTGAATCATATCTCAATAAAACTACTGAAGCAGGCAGAGATTTAGTTGTTCAGTAGATATTTTCTAAATTTACCCACAAGAGCATAGGCTGCCATTGTCAAGCTCAGTCTCTTAAGTTCAAGTGCCATAATGAAGGCATGATGCGATTGTTACTTGGTTGTGTGGTATGAGTTTGGCCAAGTATGGGAGAAAATATTTCTATTTATATAGTTCTCCTATTTGTAATATCTTTTAATATTTATGACTCATATAATCAAATATATTCTGTGCATATATTCTCCCAAGTGATAAGAAGCAGTTTATATTAATAGACAAGGAATCTGAAGTGATTTCTTCAAACTCTAATACCTCATAATTGTTAATCCAAACTATATCTCCATTGATCTGTCCACTCTTAATTACCCAGATAAGGGTTGAAATTATTTTTGTGGATCTGTATCCTTTTCTATTTCACATTAAGTAATATATATGTTGGGTTTCTCTGCTATAAATGTAGGAGAAAAAATATGTAAAAAGTTATCTTTAAAAATATTTTTAATTACATGTATATGTGTGTGTGTGTGTGTGTGTGTGTGTGTGTGTGTGTGTGTATATGCAAGTGAGTACAGGGGTCCACAGAGGCCAGAAGAAGGCATTGGATCCACGGGAGCTGGGTCACAGGTGCTAGTGAGCTGTGGTGCTGGGAACCCAAGTTGGGTCCTCTTCGAGAGCAGTATGCATTCTCAATTGCTGAGCCATCTCTCCAGCCCTGTAAAAAGTTAAGGCCATCGTACTAATTATATTCAGGATATTGAGTGTACTGGCTCATGAAAAACAAAGAGTTAATTTAAAATGAATTATTATATAAGCTGTATGCGTCATTACAGTGAAAGTTTATGGTAGGGAAAGAGCTAGACCCAATTTTTACTATTTAAGGTTAATAAAGAATATATACCAGAAAGTTGCTAAGAGCCCAGCAAAGTTTATTTCTTTTTAATAGCTTTATTGGGGTATAATTCACATAACATACTGTTTATCCAATTAAGGTATGCAATATTTTTTAATATTTTATTTATTGTTTTTATGTGTATGAACCTGCATGTATGTAAGTGCACCCATGTCATGCACTGCCCACAGAGGTCAGAAGAGGGCATCGGATCCCCTGGAACTGGAGTTATGGACCATTGTTAGTCACAATGTGGGTGCTGGAAATTGAACCTGGGTCCTCTATAAGAGCAGCCAGTGCTTCTAACCACTGAGCCATCTCTCCAGCCCTGTGATTTTAAAATAATGTACAAAATTGTACCCTACTTCCTCCCTTCCAGCCCTAGGCAATCACTGTTTTTTTCCTCCATGTGGATTGGCCTGTTCTGCACAGTTTTATAAATTAAGTCATAATATGGAATGCAGATTATTTTAATCCTTTAGGAAAACATGTGACATTTGCAGAAACAATTATTGCTTGAGAAATTTTATTTTCTTCTGTGCGAAGTCTCAAAAGTAGGCTGGGCAATTAATGCTATATAAATAACAAAGCTGAGATCACTGTAGGTAGAAAAATCTACATAGGATGCTATAGTCTGATCTTTCTGCTTTATTAAGCCAGGTTTAGAGAGCCTGTGTTTGGAAAGGTTTGTATCTTCTCACCAGTGGGTGTCAGCATTTGACTAAATATCATTCCTGCTAAGGCCTTGTCTATAAATAACCTGAAAGACAGTCTCCCATCCTCAGTAACAACAAATGACATTATTTAATCCTGTTCTTATTTATGTGTTACAAGTAAAGACTTGTAACAAATCACTTTACTCATATATTTTTTTCCCGTTAGATAGCTTTAAAGGATTAAGATCTTATCACCTTTATTGAATTTGAATTTTGATTTTTTTTAAGAACATATTTCCCTGGAATCACCCATTTTGTAAGAGTTCTATGATAAAACCTATGCTCTGAAAGACTCAAGTGAGAAAAGGACTTGAATTTTTTTTATATAATAGTATTTGAATGATTTCTACTACCAAACATAGAGATGTTAATAAATGTTGCTACGACACTGTCATTTGATTAGCCTTGTCATGGGTAATCAGTTGCATTAGGCAATTAAATGCTGGAACATTCATTTGCTTAGCAAGCTTTATGCTATGCTGAGTGTTCTTGCCTTCCATTCTTGTTTTAGGATACCTCCTAGGCAGTGAAGATTACTACACCCATGAGGTCTGTGCGAGAATTGAGCCTTTGAATGTTACACGATGTGCTCTTGATTTTCGAGATGGTGAAGAAGTTGCAACCCAGTATAAAAATATGTATTCAACAAACATATTTACTGAAAGGGCTACAACTCTCATAGCTAATCATCCACCAGAGAAGGTAAGACTTCCCTCTTTCATAAAGATCTTGTTAGGAAAAATCCATTGTGTTGTTTAGGGGGAACCCCAATAAGGAAGATCATTGTTGAATTTTGGAGCACATCTGAATGAAGTTTGTGAAATGTGAAGGTTCTGGATCGCCTCTCTAAAGATTTGATTTATTGGCTCTGGAAGAAATCCATATATTGGTGTTTTTGTGTTTTTGAGACAGAATCTCGCGTTGTAACCTTTGGTGGCCTGAAACTTGCAATGTAGACCAAGCTGGCCTTGAATTACCTACCTCTGCTGGTGCTGGGGTTAAAGGTGTGACCCACCACACCTGTCACATCAGCATTTTAAAGGATCTCTTAAAAGATGGTTGTTTGATGACCATGTACCCCAGGCTGAACATAGAGGAACACTGTTTTACAGGGTTTCAGTGGAAATACCACTTAGTCCTTTGGTGTTTAATGTGCATGTGCTACAGTAAACCGACGCTTTGGTTTTTTAAGTGTCTTATGTACAAGGTGAGGCTTTATTATAGAAAACTTTCTGTTATGAATTTGGGGTTTAGAGCAAATCCTCTAATTTTATATTTTTCTCTCCAGGATTATTTGGGTTTTTCTAGATCTTTTTTTATTACCATGTTAATTTTAGAACCAGTTGGCAGATTTTTACCAATTAAAAAAAAAAGGAGGCCACATGCTTTGATTTGGTGTTCATTGACAAACTTAAAAACATGGCCATCTTGGCAATATTGATTTTTATTTATTTAATTATTTTTGAGACAGGGTTTCCCTGTACCCCTGGCTGGTCTGGAACTTTCTAGGTAGACTAGGCTGGCCTTGATCTCACAGAGATCCACCTGTCTCTGCCTCTTGAGTGCTGGAATTAAAGGTATGTACCACCATACCTAACAACATACTGAGTTTTTAAAATTCATGAGCATGGTATATTGGTTTTCACAGGCACCGTAAGGAAACTATTGTACATGTTATGTACAGACTTAACTATAGGTCAAAAGAGAAGAGTGTGAATAGCCCTAAAGCCAAATTGTCTGGATTGAGCATATAAACACTTTTGAAGTAGAGCAGATATTTGTGGTGTTAGACTAGTGTCTTTGTGCAGAACTGTATTAATATAATCACAAGTTAGTTCACAAGGTATCTTTGTGAAGATTAACATACAAATCAGCTCTTCAGTGGGAGCCTGCCCGACATGGAGAATTTCAAAATGTGCGCAGATCCTTCCAATTTCCTGTACTTCTCCTCTTTGACAATGCCTGCAGGTATTCAGTGCAGGTCCTGGTGGGGACTCTGATTACACACCTGTTCAGGCTTAATGACCTGCTGATGACTCTCTTTGGTATGGAATCGTCCAGGCTCTGCCTTTGCTTATTCTAACTCAGTATGGCGGACTCTTCCCTGGTGACTGGCCTCAGCTTTGCCACACTTCTGCTTTTTCATCAACTGAATGCTGATTAATTCTTGGCAACCAGGTCTGTCATGGAACGTGAAAAAAGGGGCACATTCTCTTAAATATATAGAAAGATATAGGCTTTAAATCTAGATTTAAAGTGATATTCAGATAGTTGGCAAGCTAGGTAATTGGTGTCTTATAACATTTAACAGATAAGAGGGTACAGCCAGGGTAAAATGGTTCTTTGTATGTGGGTATTCCAGACTGGGAATGTTGGGGAAGGCGCTGGAACAATAGGCAGCCCTAAGAGCCTGCACACCACAGGAGAGGTGTCGTTAGCATGGTGTTCCTCATGGGTGGTACAGTTTTCCATTGTATGTGTGGCATTTTATAGGCATTGCCTAATGCTAACAAATCAAGGTAAGGTTTTAAGGGAATCATTTATTCTGAGGTAGGCACCATTTTATACCATTTTTTTTCTTTGATTTATTTAGTTATTTTTATGGGGCTTTTGGCTACTCTAACATTCCCCCTTCTGAAGAGGTAACCCTAAACTCTTTTAAGGATTAGATACAAGCTCCCAAACACTTTCAACATTTTTGACTTTTGGAACAGAGTATGTTGCTAAGAGGCCCAAGGACATTGTGAGTTTTAGCCAAGAAACTGGCTACTTTTCTTTGGGGTCTTTTTACCCTAACTGCCTAGCCAATTCCTACCTCCTGTTCTTATCACACCATCCTCTGAAGCGGTTACTCAACTTGCGGATAGGGAATAGGGACACAGACCGCTCTGGCTTCTTCGTGATGAACAGGATGCAGGGTGAGACAATTGGAATACCCCTTCAGTGGGTCTGTTACGTAACTCTTATCTCTAGGGGGAAAAGAAAGTCCTTGAATCGTGAATAGGAGA